GTACACAGAGTACGCCATCCAAGCTTGGAGTCCATGGCTTCGCAAGATGCTTGAGCGTCCATAAAGGATGGCCACCAAGATGGTCAAGGGATTACATTACCTGACATATGAGGAGAGATTGCGATCATTGGGATTATATTCTGCACAGTACCGCCGAACTCGAGGAGACTTGATTTTGACGTATCAAATACTGCAGAACCCAAACCATCCCTGTCGATCGCTGCTCATGTTATCAAACAATCTACATGTAAGGGGACACCGTTTCAAACTACGGATTATTATCAAGTGTCGACTGGATTGCCGGCGTCAGTATTTTGCTGTCAGAGTATGCAGATCTTGGAACGCCCTTGCATCTCGTGTCGTTTGTGCACCCACTATTGAATGTTTCAAGCAGAGACTCGACGAAATCTTGGCACACCTCGCATTCGTACACCACTAAAAGCAAATGGAAATTCACTGTAGCCTACATTCTCTATTATCTCCTACCCGGAACTCTATGTGACTCTATTTTCGATATGTAACGATTCATCTGTGTAAATATCCTATGGGGACAAGAGAAACAAGAGCTTGTAAGTTATTCCCAGAATAAAACTGACTAATTGGTGTACCTTGAGGTTTGCCTTATACGCACACTGTTTGCATTTTCCGTGATGGATGAACAAGGTGAACTCATCCAGTCAAATCCATTTTTTTTTCCATACACAAACAATTCTGTCGTACAGCGGGCGTTTCCATTCTTGCTTAACTGTGAGCAAATCAATCTTTATTGATTTTTTGTTTTAAACCTTTCTGTTTTACGATTAGATAACTAACTGTGAGTTAAATGTGAAATAATAACCGAGCCTAGTAAATTTCTGATCTGTTAGACCGGAACCTACTTGGGAGACCTAACTTGGTGGGAATTTTTCGAGTGAAGTTAACAGGTGGTCAACTGTTTTTCCCGTCATTGTTGTCGGGCCAAAAATGAACTGACTGATGATCTCTGAAGACGACACCTGATATGAGCTGGTTGGTACAGTTTTAACACACATCTTCCATGCCCGATGGGTCCGGAGTTCAAATCCCGGTCGGAACTGTGGATATGCCCTACTGGTGAGCTCTAAGTAGAGCGAAACTCGACTCTAGTGCTTTCATGAGTTGATCGGGACAGGTGAGGAATGTGCGTGAGGTTTGAGGGATGGTCAGTTCTAATCAATCAGTTGTGCAATCATACCTCCGAAAGGGAATTGTGACCGATCAAAGACTGTTAGGAAACACAAAATTGATGAGAAGTGATAAATGATCGCCCACATCATCATCATCATCGTACAGCGAGATACAGTGAAGCGAACTTCACTGATCGATGTCAAGCTCACAATGTACACAAATCGAGTGATGAAGCACAAGATGGAGAGGGATTAGGCCTAATTGGAGGGAGGTAAAGAAAGTGAACCTCTATGGTCAACAAATAGGTTCGCCGCCCACATGCTTCTACGCTGACGAATCACCCTTGATAATGTATGCAATTTGTGTCCGTGTCTGTGTTTGTGTGTGTATGACAATCCATTACCATTTTCCTTGGGGATTGCATAGGCTTCGTTCATACAGGCGTCTGAAAATGGAGCTGGTCGAACTAGTTTCCCATCCATAGACATCCAACCCCTTCTTTTTGGGGAATCGCTTGTCGCCGATGCGCAAATACCCACCTCGAATGTTCTCGTAGACGAAACGGAGAAAAAACCAACACAACCGGTCTGTCTAGCTGCCCGGGCACTTTGAAATTCATTCACCATATTGTTACTCTCTCTCTCTCGCTGTCCTGTGTGATACGCCCGAAATTCCCTGAACACATGCATTTTCATTCACGCACATTCACCGGGTTTGGCCAAAACCGGATGTTTTCTTCAGACAATCGGGTGAACAGCCCGCGCGCTTTATTTCTGTACTCCCTTTCTCTCTCTCTCTCTCGCGCGCGCGCTCGCTCGCTCGCTCGTTCTTGGACTAGTGTGATTTGTTGAGCGGAAACCCGGCCGGAAATTGTTCCCTTCTCCCGGGACAAGCAAACATGATCATCGGTCTCACGTTTGGCTACTCAAAAGCTCAGTTCACTTTTCGAAATGATCGATTGTGAAATTCGTAGAACAAATTGGATCGTGTTTCTCAGTTCACCATAAATGGTCTCTAGATCTTTGATTTTTCTATGCTCTGACCGGTTCCACGGATCGCGACCGTCAGTACGGGGTTTGCAATTCTGTCATTCTAGTATCAGAGATCAGTTCCACCTCTACTGTTTTGCAAGAAAAGGGAAAACTATTTTACACCAGTATAATTTGTGTGAGGAGGATGAAGGGAGAATAAATTAGCTGCGTCGCCATGATCTGCTCGAGTGGGTAACATGAAATCAGTTCCTTGTGAGTTCAATTCTCGGTGTATGTGATCATTCTAATGCAAATGCCGTTCGTCATTCAGTATGCTTGTTTCCCCACTTTGCTAGTCTAACATGGCCTATTTCCGGTGCATCTATCGAACAGGATAGCATTTTTTTAGGGATGGGAGTTTGGTGGTTCACTGAAAGAGTCACCAGGGCTTCATCGAATGTCCAGCGGGGAGAGTTGGCTACTATTGAAGTCCATGGGACGAGGATAGCTCAGGGCTAGCGGTTCTGCGAGATTCGAATAAGTGCGAGGAATATATATGTTTTCAGCCATTTTGCTGCAGTTGAAGAAAATACACTTCCCGGGTACAAGTATATGAATTAACTGACAAAAGATTACCGGATGCGCAAGCCTGACGAGCGGCAAGAACCGCGAAACCGTTCGTGTGCTTCCAGGGAAATTTGGTCCAGTCATTCACATATTACTTATAATGATATATACATATAGTGCCAATGCCACAACAATAGTAATCGTATAACCCAATATTGTGTTGTCGTTTCAAACAGAGTTCATTTTATTTCCCAACCATTACGCAACCGCACAATTCAATAGATCTTCTTAGCAGTACTCAGTCATTTACGAAAGGAATCGCACATACACACAATACAACTCACTCGACTTGGAAGACCCGTATCAGCCAGAGGATCGTAATCAAACAGAGCACGAACTGTCATTGTTTTCTTCAATGTGGTTGTCAAACGAGGCACAGTGGCAAAATGATCCATAGACCCAGCTCTTGTGACCAATGTGGAAGTGGTACGATCGAACGAGCTGTCATCATCATCATCCTCCCGTTCATGCCGGGCATTAGTTGAATCGGATCGTGAATTGATTCCGTCCATCATCACATAATCCGTATGATTTCCATTCCGGTTGGGGTAGGATGCACCCGTGCGATCCGAGGACGTTTTACTCGGTCTGCCCAGGACAACTGGCGCTTCCCGGGAATTCATTGGAACCAGTGAGTCCGCATTCGAATTTCTGTCGAGGACAGGCAGAACAGATCGGATCATAAGAGCGAACAAGCGGATGGGCAAGTATTATTATTATTACACCGGCTGGTAAACAAGCATGGCGCAAAGTGGGAAGAAGGTGTAGCAGTTAAAATAGAAAAAGTAGGTAACTGAGAGAACAAGAATTTTGTGGGTGTGTTTCGCCGTACACCTTTGTATATTG